TTATCCACTCACATATCTGAATCCGGCAAGTTCAGAGTGATGCTTCCTTCCACAGCGTCTCCGTATTTGAGGTACCCGAACAAGCCGATAACACCATACAGCAGTACCACGATGAACATGGCGATATTGAGAATTCCTACCTTGCCGATAAAATGTCTAGGATTCTTCATGGAATTCTCCAGGGGCATTACCTGTAACAAGCAATGTGTATGCCTGTTTGTTGTGTTTCCTTCATGAGTTACTTCGTAGGACATTTAGTGTCGATATTTCAACTAATAACATTATAAAGTATTAAATATAGAGAACAAATGGTTTTCAATGGTGAGATGGAAAAGATGGAGACAGTAGTGGCCAATTTCAAGGTAATATTTCGGTAGCACCTGGGGTAAACGAGGGAAGGAACGAAAATCATTAGTCAGCACAGCAAGTAACCTATCACGGATTCGAACCGGCTGCCTCCCGAATGCATGCCTAGAACATCGTCGAGACACCATCCTGAACCATGTCGTATAGACACATCACATTTCGTAACGAAAGCTGCTAAACTCTCTCTAGTTAATTTACGACGACAGTAAAAAATATGCCTAATTATTATCATCATCTGATAATTGTTCAAATTTAAGCCGGATTAGTGACTTAGAGACCAAAAATTATTTTCACAACTGCCTTACTTCTCGACGTATCCTACAGGACTATTTTTTTATCTATCCATCCAATCACACCTGTTTATCGATTCATCTTTTCATTTTCTGTCTATAGATGGATTTATCCATAATTCTATCTATGGACCTGTATATACACAAACCAGCTGCATGATCTCACGTGTCTCAGGTTTCTATAATTGTCTACGAAATCTTAAAATCTTAAATTCCAGAATTTGGCTCAGCGCACTGAAATTCTTCCGAACACTCACCACCCCGATGCCCTCCATGGCGAAGATGACAGTAGCGAAGAACAGAGGCAACTGTTCTGCACGGGCGATGTAATTTTTGTCTTCGACGTCCAACGTGCCGTTGAAAACGTAGTAGAGCGTGATGCTGAAGCTGACGAGTATGAAAACATTCGCAATTGCTGAAAACGGAACCAAGTACTTGAGGTCCCTGATCAGGCCGAGGGGAATCAGGAACACGAGGAGCATGGGGATGTACACTCGAACATCCAGCGGGTCCTTGTAGTCCATATAGTAGTCACCCACCTGCTCGGACGTAGAAACACTAATTCACCAAACGTGTACAGTGCACAATTTTATAATCAAAAGTAAAAGTACAATTGTATCCCGTAAGAGTTCTTTGCTGTGTTAAATAACCTACTGACCTCAATTTTCACACCACATATATCCCTTTGGGTACGAAATGTCACCCCTTTTATTTTGTTCACAATATCCCGAACACAATTTGTAGATCAAAATAAATGATATATTTTATTTCGTGTAACATGCAGTCTAATGAATGAATCAGAGACAACCTCCAAAACTCTGAATTATTAAGTCTGCGCTAAACACAACTGATGGCCGAGGAAGACTTCATTGTATTCAGTCATCTTGAAAGCTTGAAAACCTAAAACCTTTTTTTTGAAAATAGATAACGTTTTATTCCAGGTTCAATTGAAGAAAGAATTTAATTAAATTAGTTCTACGCCTCTTGTTGACTTCGTATTTGTAAAGAAGTTTCGGGGATAAAAAGTGCGGATAGACAGATAGACAGACAGACAAGAATCATCAATTTAATTCCACGTACATTTTGCGAAAAACGAATGAAAATTCTATGAAACACGAGGTAAGAAAGCAAAGCTACTGACAGCATTATAACTTTTCCTGTCAGGAAAGAATTCCTTTCCTGGCATTCTCTTTTATTTCCTTTACACCTTCATTGCTAATCCATGAAAAATTTTATTCAGTCTCAAGAAACGTCTCATTACGTATTCAATACTGACTTCCCAGGCGCCATGCCATTGAGCTACTATAATACATTCAGATTGTTATTCCCACGTATTTCATATAATAGGCAGAAAATTGATAGATGTTTTAGAACAAAACCGCCTTCTACCACAAAGGCCTGTTCTGGACAAATGGGAGAGAGGCCATTTTGTGTTTACACCTGGCACTTGTCGATACAGCGGTTTATAATGTATCAGTGGCGAATAACGCAATTACCTTATGACGTAAGAGGATTATTTAGGGGTTTTAAAACTAGGAACACAATAATTTATTTAGTTGGCTGAAGAAACTATGCAGTTGAATAAGAACGAGCAGTTGTTTCCATGTAAGCTGAAGAAACTAAGCAGTTTAATAAGAACGAGCAGTTGTTTCCATGTACCTGTTCAATGTCTCGGACTTTATAAGTGAAAGTTCAAAAAGTTTAATGACCTTTTCTTGGGTTATTGTCTTGATCTTCAATAAAACCCCAATTTTTCGAAAGATAACACTAAGGCATCTTCTCGAGAACTATTTTAGTGAGCTGTATAAGTGTTCGTGTGGCCCTTAAATGATTTAGTTGCAAAATTCAAAATATTTAGGCAGTAACTGACCGAGATGTCAAACTCAATACCGGCATCACGCCGCTGAATATCTCCCATCCTCGTTCTTCTTAACTTTTTATGCTAACGATAAGAACACAGCTCTCGTACGAACTTATGAGGTGGTAACAATACCAGAAATATTTAATGTAGGATGTGAAGTTTAGTATGGGAACGGGCAATTTTTGAAAGTGTTCTTTTAGGGAATTACTCTAAGAAAAATTCAAAATAACATAAAAGATGTTTTATGCGAGAATATAATTGAATAACCATTTAAACTTCACCATTTAAATGTTTTGCTATTACTCGTTGCAACCATCTACTAATCTCAAGAGTGGCGTTGAAGCATCTTTTGGGGCCTTAAAATTATCTGTAATAAAAACAAGCCATTCTAATAAGGTAAAATTCTCCCTGGTGCTTAATTAAGCACACGCCATGAAGACGCATTCTTAACCGTGGTACTGGAAGTGAGCGGTCAGCTTCACGGCCTGGACGCTTTAGCCCACAAGTTTCTATTCATGCGTTATTTTCAAAATTATTAATAAACTACGTACTATTTGCTGAAAGTTGGAGCGACTGAAACAACGTAAACAGTTTTACAAGTACTAACTGGTACTAATGGTTTTATTGTCATTTCTTAACTGTGAAGCCCATTGTTCGCTCATTATGGATCCAGACTTACGTCATAATTCGTCGTTTTCGAATAGAGTTCAACGCATCGCCGACCATGAAGTTAAGAAAGAATCTTCTGGGCATTAACAATATATTATGGAAGGAAATTTCATTTGCAGACCAATAGCCTATTTACTGTCATTTATTTCAAAATAGGTTATTCTGTTTCCCCGTATTGTACCTAAAAACCTTAAAACTTAGAGTTACACAAACTAATTTTGTACACTTTTGTATGGGTGTAAAACTTGGTAACATATTCTGACGGAATAACGTAGATCGATGGTGATTGCCAACAAGGTGCTCGCGATATTATTCAGACAAAACGACAGAATACGTAAGAAATTGTAAAAAAAATATGTAATGGATGTCTTCGTAATTTGTATTTTTTACCAGATATTTTTTCGGACAAAGCAAAGATGGGATATTAAAAGGGGTCCTATTTAAAGGAAGCTACGAGGATGTGGACTCCATTATCTGGCTCTGGTCCAGTGAATACGGTAGTAATGAACCTTTGTGTTCCATAAATTATAGGAGTCGCGCCCTCGATGAATTGCGTCACGTGTTTCAGATTATACCGCAAGAGGACGAAGGTAAAAACGCCGACAATTGCAGGTGGGCAACAACTGAAGAGGAATCCTTGTTTGGGTCAGGGTCAACCTTGTAGTCACTCGGTCAAGGTGAGCCTCGTGTGAGGTGGATCTTCACGAGTTATCGTGCTCCGATATGGAGGAATGTTTATCGCGTGCAGAAGGTTCTGTACTGCAGTTTGGAATTTACTAGTGGCTTCAATTTCAGAACACATATTTTTTATGCCCTGTGGATATCGGTTTAATTATTTAATTTTCTTTCTTACAGACAAACCCCGTTCTGTTATACTTCCGTATTAATTTTTACTGTTGAAAATCCGAAGCTTTAAACGAGACTAAACCATATAAATGCTATATTTGTCGCATATATTCTAAAAAAAATAATATTAAAAAATGAAATTTCCCAATAAACATATCTGTAAAACATTATTTCCAACAGCAGGTTAGCACGTTATATTTTTCAAAAAGCTAAACATAACCCATATAGATAAAATTTAGTATTTAAGGTCAACATTAACAGCTCTTAAGTGTAATTTTGATTCTTATAGGTTTAATACTCCACACACTATGACATTAGTGGTAATATGTCTAAAAAAAATATTCGGCTATTGTTAAGGTAACGTAGGATATAAAATAAAAACATGGCGGCAGTGCACAGCACATATCGATATTGAATTTTGAGATCAATGTTGATAGATAATGAACAACTGGAATCAGGTATATGAAATTGGGTACATCAATAGATCATAGACATGTCTAACAGGTCTACGTAAAATATTTTCATCATCCATTATTAACACGTTCAAAACGATAAACTTTGCGGTTGTATGTGTCAAATTTGACTTACTATGAACACGTAAAAATAGGATTTATGCACTGATATGGATCACTAAATTTATATTTTTTAAAACATTTACAGTGGATATTTGTTGTACATAAAAGAATTTTAAGGCAAATTTTCTGTTGAAATTAATCCATAAAAACTGGAAAGTCTTTTTTCTTAACAGACGTAGCTCACCTGTTTAATAGAGGATGCTACGAACACGACGTATACACAGAGGGCGCTGTAGTACGTCGCTAATAGAGCCCCGTTCACGAACTTCCTAAAAGACAAACAATTAACATACACACTTGCATTCTGATACCTGTTCCTGACAAACTACACAAAAATTCTATAAAGATAGTTTGTACGTAATAAATAAACAACCTTTGTTTTTGTTATCTGCGTTATATAAAACCCAATTTTCTCGTGTCTGAAGGATAATTAGGAATGATAGCAAGGGAGTATATCAGTTCTTATAGGAAGGTATTTAAGTTGGTCGGACCTTGCAGAGAACGTTGATATTCCTAAGCGTTTTTCTGCTGTAACTGCATGTTTTGAGCGACATTTTAACCTATAAATAGGATGTCCCTCACACAGTAGATAATGGCTAACAAAATTGCAGTGTAATACATTTCAGTTCTTAAAATTTATAACATTCCCCCATTCACTCAGTTATCCCCTCGAATTTCAGATCCAATGGACTGAATATAATGCCAATGTCAATAGGCTACTTCTAAGGAAAGGAAAAACGTTCTAATAAGTTCATAATCGTATGCCAGTATTTAATTATGGTCATCTATTTGCGAGTATCAAGTGGAAGGTAAAATTTTGACTTGAAAATAATATCACTCAGAATTATGTGTTTAATCATATTTCTCTGTATTCCTGCCGGTACACTGTATTTATAATTTTAAATTTCAGTCCTTTACGCGTAGAATTTGACATTTGACGTAACAATATCAAAGCACTGAAACACGATTAAGAAGTAAAGGAATAACATCGTATATCCTGTATTTTTCCACGGTATCTGCACGCGTTCCATTTCAGTTGAAGCAGATAACATTGCAGCTAATATAGCAGGGAACCACGCTTCAGCGCTTGTCCTACTTATTGCCTAGACCTTGGTAATTCCATTAAAAATTGCCACCTATAGGGAGGGGGGGGGGTCTGTTCACAGCTTAATTTCCGGTTCGGATGTAATTTTTCATGGTTTCTGTCTCATATTTAGGAAATAGCTGTTATTGCCTCACTAAATCGGACTAATAGCTTTGGGGTGTGTTCTTCCGTGGGATTCGATAATATTCTTGAGGACCTGGGCCGTACACGTGTAAAGCTAAGTGTTACAAGGAGAAGTGTTTACCTTCCAGCTGTACTGAACTTCTGTAATCCTGGAGGACCACTCATGAAGGCTGCCTCTGCTGTTTCTGAGAATCCCAAAGATGGAACTTTTTGTCTCCTGCACAAATCCTGTGACGACTGAACCTTTAACGTGCAAATCAGAAAGAAAAACATTCAATTTCACGCCATTTTAAACTCTGTTATTTCTGTTGTAAGCACAGGAATGTTTATGTTCATGGACACTTCATGTAAGCTTCTAGAGGGAAATGACGTAATGGGCTATTCTTGTAACTGATATGCATGTTTCCTTTTTGCACATCGGCGTAATGCGGAAATGTATGTAACGGAACACATTTATCAAACGGTTCAGTATTAAAAACTGTTTTCGTGTCTGGGCCTATATATTTCAGAAGTAAATTTAGTGATTTTTTTAGTCTTCTCTAAGACGAAACTACTTATGTATCAGGGAATGAAAAATTAAGTGATTTTTGAAGATGGCTGTCTACTGGGTTGTTTCACCGTGCAAACTGATAGAAGTTTACGGACGTTGCAGAGCACCTTGCTGCCTACATCTTCGCTCTGATGATGGAAGTAGCGAGGACCTCTGAAACGTCGATAAACTTCTACCAGTCTACACGGCTCAACAAACCAGAAGACAGCCTTCTTCAAACTCACAGCCGCGAGAACCTTAAATCCTATTAAGTGATTTTATTCTTCCATAGCAACTCTAGGGAGCTCTTGTTAAAAATCACTGTTTCTTGGTTTGTACGAACGTAACAAGTACATTTATGGATTTCGTATGATTCTCAAGGTAAATAGCTATTATTTGATCTTTGTAAGAGACAATTTCTTTTTGTGGTATGGACCGAATTATTTAATATTATTTAGACGAGCTTTGTTCTAAATTACGCATTTTACAGGACATTAATAATAAAATAAAATTCGTGCTTCAGAGGAATAAGGCAGTGATTTTTGATATTGCGGCTATTGGTGGGCTAAAATTAAAATCATAATATTTTTCTACACTTATGTTAGGCTGTTTAAATTTGTATCAATCAGTTCGGAAGCATATGTAAAAATAAACCTTGAATACTGGAAATAGTTCTTGTCTGGGCGGTTTATGCACGTTTTAAAACACGTTTACTATAGGCTACTAAACATTCTCCAGTCTCCGTCGACAACTTGCAAACGATCTTTGAACATCAAGAGATTCCGTAAATCTTTTCAACAGACTATCAAATATTCGTGGCACTCAAACTTACCAAACAAAAAAATACAGAATGAAGAATAAGGAGACAGGAAGGAAAAATATGTAAATAAGGAATGGGGAAAAGATCACAAAGTATCAAGTGTGTGGTTCAATAAGCAGTTCGTGCAGAGAATTTGTAAACAATTTCAATGCCCCAACGTCCTCGCAGGGTACTGAATTAGCTGGTTATCAGCGCCTAATTCACACATTTATATTCATCAGGATCTCCCGTTGGTACGTGCTCCAGTCGTTGTCACATCCACAACGAGTTCCTGCAGCCGGTACGTCCGCCTGACGGCCATTCAGACTATGACCTGTACTTTGCGTATTCTGGTAGAGTAATCTGATGATGGAGGCAGTACGATCTTCTGAAACGTCGGCTAATATCTAACAGACCACAGCCTCGTCGCCGTGAAAACCCGAAATTTTATCTTTCCTCTTTGCGTCTCGTAGTGAAACTTCTGAGAATTTCAAATTTTATTTTCTACTATCGTCCAAAGGTGAGATCAGTCTGAATGGCCATGTATTCCCATCGATTGATATTGTTTTATTTGAATAATTGCAAACAAAGAATTTTAATTACTGGAAATCATTACTTCTGTGGGTTTACCGGCAATTTGTAACATCTGTTCAGTCGTCCTCAACGGCGGGCCACCCTGATCGGGCAACATAAATTTCTGTTCTCGCACTCAGCAGATTGAGAACCGATTTCGAGACGTGCTGGCTGGACAAACACGGATTATGCAGACTATGGAAATTCTAAATTGTGAATCCAGTAACGTGAATCAAATCCTATTATAATTCTCAGTTGTCGGGAAAAAATAATATATTTACGTAAATTCCAAGAACTCAGTTGACTATACTGGCAAAGCTAAGCGTAAAAAGCGTGAGGTTTATTAACAAGGAGACACATCAAGTCAATTTGTTAATATGAAGATTCATATAAATCTTAATATTTCCAATTTTAACACTCAGCTTGTTCCCTTCCAAGTGACCTTTTCCTAAGGGAAAATCCATTTCGTT